TGATATTCACGCCACGCTAGAACATAAGAGACATGTAATAGTGTAAAAGTGATATTCACGCCACGCTAGAACATAACAGACATGTAATACATAAATGGTGTAAATCGAGGAAGAATTATAATATATTGTACTGGCGGACGACAAGAAAGCAACTGACGCTGACAGTAGGTACCCACTTCCCGTGCTTGTGTTTTCAAATTTTCTTCTTATATTTGTTTTTTTTAATTATCATTTCAAAAGGGTGTTAATGTCAAACATCGTAAAATGAAGCAGTGTAAAGCGGGGCCTACCTGTAGCTCAAATATTTGACACGAACTTCCATGATGAATAAGGCCTACCTGTAGCTCAAATATTTGACATGAACTTCCATGATGCTTTTTAATTTTAGGTTAATATCACAGTTACATTAGGGGCACTACAGTGTTGCTTGTTTAATTAAATAAACATAGGCAGCGTTGGATGCGAAACTATAACATGATTATTTCGTCATACTCTTGGAAATGAATGGTAAAAATCACATTTTAATAATGTTTATATAATGAATATGTACCTTGGGAAAGTTCTTTTGAATTTGTAGTTTTAGGAACATGTATGTTACAACTAACAAAAGGCTGGTTGTAACAGCATCCCTCTCTGCTCCATGTGCCATCATCATACCACCTTATACCTCTACGTTTGCAGTATCTTGGTAACCAAGGAGAAGTCAGTTGCTTCTTTACGGCTTCACTTACAGCTTTTTCAAGAAGTCCAATTCTCCCTAAGAATGCAGTAATATTTCAATAATCAGCAAATTGATCAATTACTTTCAACAACAACCAGAACCTGAGGATATTAATATAAATATAAAATTAAAGGCTTGGAACAACATTTTAATTTCACTGAATTTTTATAATTAAAATTTATAGCATGTTCCACCATAGTAAGATATGAGGTATGTGACTCACCTGTTGGCTCAACTATGTTCTTCTCAGATTCTTTTGGCAACTTTTCTATCAGGAACACAAAAACCCTTCGAACATCCGTCTCGCTTGAATACAGGAATGTCTGATATCCTATGTCCCCAGAATAACCCAAGTTCTGCAAAATAATTGAACATGTCTTGTCATCAACAATCAACTAGTAGATACTTAATAGGCCCTGCAACTTATTAAAACACATACCTTGCAAGCCTGGGCAATGCTTGCTCCAACCCGAAATCGAGTTGACATTGAATCTGGTAATGAATGGGGAAGGCCCAATCCTGGTTGAATGACATCCAAGCATCTAACAGCAGCTTCAATTACAAGTTCGGTGGAAAAATTCTTTAAGCTCTCAACATCTTCTTCAATATCACTGTAACAATAAATAACAAATGTATAACAGTATATACATAACCGAAAAACTTCAAAATCATGCCTGTAGTGGCAACCCTGAGCCTCCTCCCACAACAAATTATGAATGCTCTAAATTAACACGTGGCTTTATTAATTTTAATTCTAGGTATAGCACAGAATAAAATCTCTCCGCTAAAAACACTTTATGTAAAACATCCTATACCAACCATCCAACCTGACGTAAAGAATGGATTATTATACTGTCTACTTCCTCCATGTTGGCACATGAGTTAACGAATGATCAAATAACAGCGTAGCCAATACATGAAATAGAAGAAGTTTCATTTCATAGTTTGGCAGAAGACTACACGCCGGAACAACAACAAAAAAATGACAGGAAGCGAATAGTGTTCCAAATTGGCGGAAGAAAAATTTGTTCTGTAAATGTTTATCTTGTAGTGGTATACAATATATTTTTATCAGTTTGATTTGTTGTGTATCACATACACTTATTGGTGGTACATATATTGTTTGTAACTTCGTAAATGCTTTGAACTACAAAGGTAAACATTACTTATCTACTACAGTGCGTATTATTTTACATGTTAAGACTGCAATGTTTATTATATTTAAAGTGCGTGGCACCATGAAAAAAACACAGTTGTTCTTGTCTAGAAAAGCAGTGCTGTATACGTAGTAGTCAGTATAACAAATTGAGGTTAGAGTGTATTATTACAAATATTTATAAATATAGGCTGTAGGTCACACAAAATTAACTGGTAGGTCATTGGTTGAGAACATCTGTTCTAATCATCTTCTCAGGGCTATTGTGCTGATCCATATTTGTATTCACTCTCTGTTAGTGGGATTTATGTAGTCCCTCCCTATCTTTTCATTGAAATCTTTAAACAAAATGTTTCTTTATTTCATAGGGTATTTATCATATAAATGTTGTAGTTCATAGAGGTGCCATCAATTGCTTTATTTTCAGACATTTTACTCGGTACATGTCGATGGGCCTTATTGATGATGAACTTCAAGAAGTCAATAAACTCTGTCAACATGTCATTACAGGCAGCAAACTTGTCTCTTGTGTCCAAACTATGGTCCGAGTTGAAATAAGGTTGGTAGTGGATATGATGTGTTAAAAGAAGTGGCTATTTTAATTTAAAGTCTTGAGCAGATGTTATGGAAAAAGACTGGAAAGGTATAATCTTTACTGGAATACACACATGCATTTTTGCAAGTTTTTATTATTCTGAATTATTAATAAAAGATTATGACAACTTTAGTTTCAAATTATACAAATCCTGTGGTCATAATGACTGAACCCATACACATAGGGTTACAGGTTTGAAATTGGTTGTCTTGTGTTTATGCAATCACCATGTTGTTATTTTACATTACACAAAGAATTACCACAACAGAATTTTATACTTTCAGAAAATCTATAACCATACATCACTGTATGGCCCTTTTGCAAGTGGCACTGGTGTTGAGTCTGCCATGTTGGTATTACCAATTGTAGGAAATTGAAAAGTATGATTTAATTTAAAATGTAATCCAAATTCATCCTGCAGTTTTCAAGTTTAATCATGTGGACATAATTTAAAATGTAATCCAAATTCATCCAGCAGTTCTCAAGTTTAATCATGTGGACGGATAGAAATGACCAAACCTTTATGTGTTCATTTCATGTACATTGCGTGAAGAACACATAATAATTGTTTTTTAAATTGAAACTTGGAAATTCCATTGCTATTAATGTGATGTCAATACAGTGCTGTATTTATGGTATATCAGTAGTTTTACATATTCAGTATTAATAAACTGTAGACTTCACATCACATACTCGGTTTCTTTATGCTGTCAGCATTTTTCAGTTGTCAGCCAGAAGCCGTATTAACTTGTGTTTTAGGTTAGGTTAGGATAGATTCAAACCTTCCCGAAATGATAGATATGACATTAAATGAAGTATTTTATGAATATTTATTAAGAAGAGAAAGATTTTGTTTCTTGGGTTTCCTCATTTACAGTAATTATAATAATGAAGAAAAACCTATTATATTTTTGTCTGTTTATCATTTAAAAAATTTATTTAGTGTTGTTTCTGATTAAGCCTTTAAACTATAATAATAATCTTTAGATTGTAAAATACTTGCACATAAATTTTGCTTCCAAATGCATTTGAACCCCTTTATACCGATTAAGCAGCAATCCACTGTACCTTCATTCCTTGACTTGTAAACTAATCTAGTTCACCGAAAACCCCAAATGTTGAGAAGTACTGATTTTTTTTCTCCTCAGAATTTGATATAATTACTTCTTGCTAGGCAAAAATAATAATGACACACTAGTTTGATTGTAACATCTCTCTTTCTTTAGGCGTACAGCATTTAAGCATATTGTAGCTTGCATTCAGTTTCCTAGTGATTATCCTCGTTCGCCTCTTCTTATTGAACTGAAGAGTAAAACTTTATCGGATAAGCTGCTTGATGGCTTGACTAATGTTTGTGAGCAAGAAGCTAAGAAGATTCTAGGTAAACCACAGGTTTGTACTCTGATAACATACATGTCGGTCTTAACACATTAGACTTATGTTTCCAAACTTCTGTTTGACATTTCCTTGAGCTTGAAATTTGAATATAGTGTATGGTTTCCAATTTATGCTTCTAGAATGGGATTGCAGGATTAAATCTTGGTCAGGCCTTTTTTTCTTGCAGCCACCCTGTTGTTATTTCACATTATACCGGATTTCCCGCAAGATGATGTCCATAGCTTAACTACGTGAACTTGGGATCATTTTGAGTCGAAAAGTTCAAATAAATGTGGGTCCGATCTGCAACGGTTTGTCAAGAAAATGCTCTGCACTCACTATGCAACGACTGTGTTTGGGAAATTAGTTCATTAAGCTGCGCACATGGCGCACGTAGGCAAGACACGGGGCAGTTGGTGCCTGAAGACCGCTTGATATCTCAGCACTACTTGCATTTCCTACAGGAAGAGCTCCTATTGATGTTGGAAGATGTTCCTATACTAACCACGCAAGAGATGTGGCTGCAACAAGTTGGTGCACCTCGTCAATTTGATATGCAGGTGACTGCATCTCTGAATAAACAGTTTCCAGACCATTAGATTGGCCGAGGTGGTCCAGTTGCTTGGCCAGCGAGATTACCAGATCTTTCACCTTTGAACTACTTTCTCTGGGGTCACATGTAATCCCTGGTGTTCGCCGTCAAGTCAAACAGTAGGGCTGAGCTGCTGAATCGAATAATGGACTCCGGTGCTAACATCAAAAATTATCACGACTCTCTAAGAGGGATGTCACTTCAATTACACGAAGGGCTCGACCATGCATCGACAATCAGGGTGGCCATTTCGAGTCACGTAAATAACGCGAGTAATTGAAAATGCAATTTTGAGTGTAGGCTAAACTTAATAATAATAATGACAGCGTGAATAACCCAAGTTCTGCAAAATAATTGAACATGTCTTGTCATCAACAATCAACTAGTAGATACTTAATAGGCCCTGCAACTTATTAAAACACATACCTTGCAAGCCTGGGCAATGCTTGCTCCAACCCGAAATCGAGTTGACATTGAATCTGGTAATGAATGGGGAAGGCCCAATCCTGGTTGAATGACATCCAAGCATCTAACAGCAGCTTCAATTACAAGTTCGGTGGAAAAATTCTTTAAGCTCTCAACATCTTCTTCAATATCACTGTAACAATAAATAACAAATGTATAACAGTATATACATAACCGAAAAACTTCAAAATCATGCCTGTAGTGGCAACCCTGAGCCTCCTCCCACAACAAATTATGAATGCTCTAAATTAACACGTGGCTTTATTAATTTTAATTCTAGGTATAGCACAGAATAAAATCTCTCCGCTAAAAACACTTTATGTAAAACATCCTATACCAACCATCCAACCTGACGTAAAGAATGGATTATTATACTGTCTACTTCCTCCATGTTGGCACATGAGTTAACGAATGATCAAATAACAGCGTAGCCAATACATGAAATAGAAGAAGTTTCATTTCATAGTTTGGCAGAAGACTACACGCCGGAACAACAACAAAAAAATGACAGGAAGCGAATAGTGTTCCAAATTGGCGGAAGAAAAATTTGTTCTGTAAATGTTTATCTTGTAGTGGTATACAATATATTTTTATCAGTTTGATTTGTTGTGTATCACATACACTTATTGGTGGTACATATATTGTTTGTAACTTCGTAAATGCTTTGAACTACAAAGGTAAACATTACTTATCTACTACAGTGCGTATTATTTTACATGTTAAGACTGCAATGTTTATTATATTTAAAGTGCGTGGCACCATGAAAAAAACACAGTTGTTCTTGTCTAGAAAAGCAGTGCTGTATACGTAGTAGTCAGTATAACAAATTAAGGTTAGGGTGTATTATTACAAATATTTATAAATATAGGCTGTAGGTCACACAAAATTAACTGGTAGGTCATTGGTTGAGAACATCTGTTCTAATCATCTTCTCAGGGCTATTGTGCTGATCCATATTTGTATTCACTCTCTGTTAGTGGGATTTATGTAGTCCCTCCCTATCTTTTCATTGAAATCTTTAAACAAAATGTTTCTTTATTTCATAGGGTATTTATCATATAAATGTTGTAGTTCATAGAGGTGCCATCAATTGCTTTATTTTCAGACATTTTACTCGGTACATGTCGATGGGCCTTATTGATGATGAACTTCAAGAAGTCAATAAACTCTGTCAACATGTCATTACAGGCAGCAAACTTGTCTCTTGTGTCCAAACTATGGTCCGAGTTGAAATAAGGTTGGTAGTGGATATGATGTGTTAAAAGAAGTGGCTATTTTAATTTAAAGTCTTGAGCAGATGTTATGGAAAAAGACTGGAAAGGTATAATCTTTACTGGAATACACACATGCATTTTTGCAAGTTATTATTATTCTGAATTATTAATAAAAGATTATGACAACTTTAGTTTCAAATTATACAAATCCTGTGGTCATAATGACTGAACCCATACACATAGGGTTACAGGTTTGAAATTGGTTGTCTTGTGTTTATGCAATCACCATGTTGTTATTTTACATTACACAAAGAATTACCACAACAGAATTTTATACTTTCAGAAAATCTATAACCATACATCACTGTATGGCCCTTTTGCAAGTGGCACTGGTGTTGAGTCTGCCATGTTGGTATTACCAATTGTAGGAAATTGAAAAGTATGATTTAATTTAAAATGTAATCCAAATTCATCCAGCAGTTCTCAAGTTTAATCATGTGGACGGATAGAAATGACCAAACCTTTATGTGTTCATTTCATGTACATTGCGCGAAGAACACATAATAATTGTTTTTTAAATTGAAACTTGGAAATTCCATTGCTATTAATGTGATGTCAATACAGTGCTGTATTTATGGTATATCAGTAGTTTTACATATTCAGTATTAATAAACTGTAGACTTCACATCACATACTCGGTTTCTTTATGCTGTCAGCATTTTTCAGTTGTCAGCCAGAAGCCGTATTAACTTGTGTTTTAGGTTAGGGTAGGATAGATTCAAACCTTCCCGAAATGATAGATATGACATCAAATGAAGTATTTTATGAATATTTATTAAGAAGAGAAAGATTTTGTTTCTTGGGTTTCCTCATTTACAGTAATTATAATAATGAAGAAAAACCTATTATATTTTTGTCTGTTTATCATTTAAAAAATTTATTTAAATAATGAAGAAAAACCTATTATATTTTAGTCTGTTTATCATTTAAAAAAATTATTTGGTGTTGTTTCTGATTAAGCCTTTAAACTATAATAATAATCTTTAGATTGTAAAATACTTGCACATAAATTTTGCTTCCAAATGCATTTGAACCCCTTTATACCGATTAAGCAGCAATCCACTGTACCTTTATTCCTTGACTTGTAAACTAATCTAGTTCACCGAAAACCCCAGATGTTGAGAAGTACTGATTTTTTTTCTCCTCAGAATTTGATATAATTACTTCTTGCTAGGCAAAAATAATAATGACACACTAGTTTGATTGTAACATCTCTCTTTCTTTAGGCGTACAGCATTTAAGCATATTGTAGCTTGCATTCAGTTTCCTAGTGATTATCCTCGTTCGCCTCTTCTTATTGAACTGAAGAGTAAAACTTTATCGGATAAGCTGCTTGATGGCTTGACTAATGTTTGTGAGCAAGAAGCTAAGAAGATTCTAGGTAAACCACAGGTTTGTACTCTGATAACATACATGTCGGTCTTAACACATTAGACTTATGTTTCCAAACTTCTGTTTGACATTTCCTTGAGCTTGAAATTTGAATATAGTGTATGGTTTCCAATTTATGCTTCTAGAATGGGATTGCAGGATTAAATCTTGGTCAGGCCTTTTTTTCTTGCAGCCACCCTGTTGTTATTTCACATTATACCGGATTTCCCGCAAGATGATGTCCATAGCTTAACTACGTGAACTTGGGATCATTTTGAGTCGAAAAGTTCAAATAAATGTGGGTCCGATCTGCAACGGTTTGTCAAGAAAATGCTCTGCACTCACTATGCAACGACTGTGTTTGGGAAATTAGTTCATTAAGCTGCGCACATGGCGCACGTAGGCAAGACACGGGGCAGTTGGTGCCTGAAGACCGCTTGATATCTCAGCACTACTTGCATTTCCTACAGGAAGAGCTCCTATTGATGTTGGAAGATGTTCCTATACTAACCACGCAAGAGATGTGGCTGCAACAAGTTGGTGCACCTCGTCAATTTGATATGCAGGTGACTGCATCTCTGAATAAACAGTTTCCAGACCATTAGATTGGCCGAGGTGGTCCAGTTGCTTGGCCAGCGAGATTACCAGATCTTTCACCTTTGAACTACTTTCTCTGGGGTCACATGTAATCCCTGGTGTTCGCCGTCAAGTCAAACAGTAGGGCTGAGCTGCTGAATCGAATAATGGACTCCGGTGCTAACATCAAAAATTATCACGACTCTCTAAGAGGGATGTCACTTCAATTACACGAAGGGCTCGACCATGCATCGACAATCAGGGTGGCCATTTCGAGTCACGTAAATAACGCGAGTAATTGAAAATGCAATTTTGAGTGTAGGCTAAACTTAATAATAATAATGACAGCGTAACCTACGAGGCGCGTCCACAAAGTAAGTTTCCCACTCGTCCCACAGCTAGCAAACCTTATATTGCGCGAAGCGACTGTGCGTACGTGATAGAGCAATGACGTAGCATGGCGCATGCACTAACGGTACTTCCC